ATCCAGTGCAAAAACGGTGCAATTACCGCTGATTTTTTGTAATCTGGCCGGAGTTAAACGACTATGGCAGCCAAAACGTCTTTTTTTTAAGAGCGAATCTCTGTAAAAACGGACCAGTGATTTTAGATTTAAAAAAATTAATCTCTCTTATATACTAAGATTTTATTTTTCGGTAATTACAAAATGGATTTCGACGAACAACCAATGAGCCGCAAAATTATAGAAAATGGCCGTGAAGTGAGCTAAGGTTGCACAGATAAAGCAATAAAAAAAATCCAGTTTAAGGTAAGCCGAGTTTATTTCTACATCTATGCCTATATTTAGTATTTTGACAGTTATACAAAGTGATTCACTCGTTCGTAACAAGTACAGTATCAAAACATGCATTAAATTTAATATGCACCCAGCTTGGGTTAATAGTGCCATTTGGACAAACGAGAAAAACGGCGTTTGGCCTTAACTTTAACGCAGTTAACATTTTGCTTACTAAACTCTAAGCTAAATATTGCCATAAATAAATAAATTAAGGTGTTAAATTGTATCATATTGGTGACCCTCTTGACCGTCTGTTTGTTGACTCGACCCCAGTTGCCCCTCAGTCTCCAAGGAGCGTTTTCACACGACGTCACGGCGGCCATACAATGAAATGGTGGCCATGTTGGAGTTCCAAACAAATCCTGTGGGAGTTGAACTTTTTTCTTATGTAAACACTTTCTTTTGTTCCGTCGTTGTCGCTTGAGCTCCCTAATATTAACGAGAGAAGCGCGGCCAAGGGAAGCAACTACGCCATGGTCCTCTTCGCACCGGATGCCGTAATAGTCTCCCGCAACCGTTCCTTGGTCCCTTACAAATAATAAGAGACGACTGGGGAGGAGCCAGGTCTGTTTGGTCGACTCGTGTTAAGGCATCCCACGGCCACGCCCATTGAGCTAAAACACGCTCCTTTCTCCAAATTGGCGCCCACCCCCGTCGGTAAATCTTGCAAATAAGCAGTCTATCCCTAATAAACGCTCTGCCCTCCTACTACCCCTTCCTTTTCCATATGTTAAGGATTTCGCATCCTTTGTTAATTCAATCGTCTTAGTATCTTTTCAGGAAGTGTCGGTTGTGTGGGCGCGCAATCTTAATGAGCGCGCGCTCACAAGTTAAAACAAGCTAAACAACTGAAGTTAAAAAGCGATGTTGCGATGTGCTCAGTTTACCACCCACGTTCAAACCTGTTAACAGCCTAATTTGTTGCAAGACAGGTTTGATGTGGGTGGCAAAACGCGCGATATCGCTATTCAACTTGTTGTACATCAATGTTGCAAGACAAGTTGCGCGTTTTTTGTTGCCCGTTTTTACACACCTTTACTTATTTAACTGACGTGTGCATTTATTTCGTTATTGAACGCATTACATTTGCTTTGGGTTGTTTTCCTACTCATACACATTGTCAGTAATTGTACTGAAATTGTGGGTGGCTCCTCGTAAAATGTTCTATAATGATTGGTAAGCAGCAGTTAATGAAGCCGAAACCAATTGTGGAATTGCACACATTTTGGCATTTTACTGAAGAACAGTTACGACTTATAGATACTTCAAGTAACAACAATTTGCCGTCTGCCATCTTAGAATTTCCTTGCTCCCCTTTAGTTAATAACACATATAACCCTTAAAGCCCCAATATCCACATTCAATTTATTTGTACTGATCTCAATACATTTTCTTAAAAAATAAGTTGTCATAATTTGATACAAGATCAACGCATTTTCCATCTAGTGGTCATGGAATTAATTCTCATGATCATTTCTTTCCATTCTGTTTTGACATTGTTAGAAGAAACTTGATGTTGATCACTTTCGGGACCTAAAGGGTGGAATCTTACAGATTTTGAGAGATGTTAAGGAACACAAGAAGTTGAGTTGAACGCGCTTTATTTGCTTCTTTACAGCTCGTAGAACTCAATTGATTGAATCTTCAGATGAGATCTTTAAGTGAATCAAGTTTAGCTTACAAAGCGGTTGTATTTATACTGAACAATAAAGTTAATTGGTTTCTAGCAAGACTACATAGTATTAATATGCAGAAAGTAGGTGTTAAAGGCAAGGCCGCTTTACACGGCACGATTTTTGCTTACGACTATCGTGCGCGACTAGCATACGTCTGACTTCACTACAGATCGTGTTGTGTTAATGCACACGACATTCGTACGACACATGTGGATGTCATAAGTGAAAATTGTGCGCGTGTGGGTGGTCAAAAGTGATGACGTCTACTAGTCGCGCACGATATTCGTAAGCAAAAATCGTACCGTCTAAATCGGCCTTTAGGAGGTGCTAGATCTGATAGAACAAAAGAAACCAAAATTTAGTTGAATTCAGCTGCGCGTGGAAAAAAATGGGCAAAATTGGAGATATCTCTATATCCAAATTCCTATACAAGAAACTAAAACAATGGTTTGAAAGAAACCTAATTTTCCTAAGATTCTGTCGAAAGAATGTCTAGTTTGAAATTAGGAAAGTAAGTAAAATTTAGCTGAAAATGGCCCAACTGAGAACAAAGAACTCAAAAGCTGTTGGGTCACGTGGCACTAAGCTACATTTAATGAGGTATGTAAGGCTGATTATTATTCCAGTTTGGAAGCAAAAGTGAGAAGTAATTTCAGTTTTAAGCAAACGGACTTCGTTTCGAAAATTGCTTAATATTTTCCTTTCCACAGCTAAAAACACCTACTAAGCAAAGTAATTATTTCTATCTAACGACCTTGTTTTGTGTTTGTGAAATAAGCTTGAAGAGGTGTGTCTTAAAGTTAATTAAAACTTAACTATCAGGTCAGCTTACAAGCTAAATTTGAGCAAATATCAAACCAAACCGTCCAACTACTGTTTTTAAAATAACTTGAAACCCAAACACCAAAATAGAATAAAAGGTCGGTGCAAAACTCTATGTCTAGGAATTCCGATCTTTTTTGGCTGCAATGCGCGCAGCGGGAAGTGGACAAAAGCACGTCATCTGCTTGCTCACAATTAGAGGCACGTATGTGATCTTGACAAAGAGTAATGGTGTCATGTAAATACATTTCTTAACCGACCTGAAAAGTACGACTAAGGAGGTTATATATGTGCATTATATAGGATATTCCAACACCAAGGATATATGTATATACGGTTAAAATATGATATGTGAGGGGAGAACCGACAAGAAAGTTTAATCGTTTCTGTTCGTTTGTTTTGCGGTAATTCATAGCTAATTACGCAATAAAAGGCACGATGTTTTTAACCGCAGAATCTGGTTTCTAGGAATAACTTTCTTACTCTCTTGTCAGTACTTTCCTCAATAATAAATACAGCGAGCGGAATATTATTTTAAACAAGCAAAGCCGAAATAAAAGATAAATACTGAATTAAATGTAAGTTGAGCTACGATGAAAAGGCGACTGCAAAAGGCCTCCGAACGTGTGAGCTTAATCGTCCCCTTGGACTTCACGGTGTCACGTAAATTGCTCATATTCAGTCTATCGTTTTAAAATTGATAAGCTCGGTTTGCTTTGACTATTGCCTTGAAGTAGCTAATGGTTTTATGAGTAAATATGTTTGTATTTTTTTGTGGTTTTCATTTGTAAATTTTTGTATTTTTTTGTATTTTGTTTTTTAAACCCCTCAAATTTTAACTTGAGTAAATATGGCCGATAAATTAGCAGCTTAGTACTTATAATAACTGGGGTAAAGAATATAACTCCTGATAAATAGTTGATGGAATTGACGATAGCCTCAAAGCCATCTAAAACATGACAAAAACACGAGCAAAGCGGCTTACATTGATTTGAATCTACATTAGGACCCCGGTTTAACTCGAAGTTGGATGACTCGAACTAAGTCCCATTTCCCTAGGATTTGATCCTACTTTTCAGCCATGTTTACTCGGATAACTCGAATTCCCCGCTAACTCCGCAACTAAATTTCGTTTCCCTTGATCCGAATTTCCTTCGTTAACTCGAATTCTGGTTCACAGAACTCACCATGAATGCCATCCTATTAGCTTTTCCTTATCTTGGAAACTGAGGAACAACCCCTGAAACTAACACTACAGCGATTTGTTTTTTACTGCTTCTTAAGATGAGCAACGAACACGTCATGTATTTGACAGTCGTTTCCCGGTATTCATCATGAAAACGTATAATCGTGTTAAAATTTCTGATGAGATAAGTTAAATGTGCCCTCTGCTATATACTATTAAAAGTGCTGAAATATCAATAAACTATCACTATTACCATGGGAATTGAAGATACAATCGATCCCGATAACTCGAACGCCCGCTCGAACTGTTTTTAACCTCGGGAGATCAGGCCCGATTTGAGCAGTTCTTATACAATCTCTCCTACGTAGTCGCGCTAAAATTCGTTTCGCCTTACCCGCCGGAATGTTATTTACAAAGAGAAACGAAAATAGAGCTGGGCGTCAGGTTAACTGTTTTTAGTCTCCCTTCTCAGAGTTCGAGGTACCGTGGTTCTACTGTATAGGTGAATCCTTGTTGACATTTTTTGCCTCATTAGCATAGGCTCATCATCATCGGATGAAGCTAATAACATGAAATTTCTGAATATTGAAAGACCATAACATTTTCAGTTATCTCTGATAAATTGGACCCGACATACCAGATAATTTCAAGGAAACTCTCTTTAAAAAAGCCCAAAATTTACAAAGAATGTATGAGCTTATCAAGTAATTTTGCAGTTTTTAACTGCTGCTATTTTCTTTCTTACTGATTGCAAGGAGCTGAAACTTGCACAAACTCTATAAATTTACTGCGCTCTTTTAATTTTTGAACCTAATTGGTATATACGGCTACATCTTCCTTCATCTTCTATGGGTTAAATTGATGCTAATGAGCTAAAATGTAAACATGACGTCACAATGAATCCGCCTTTTCAGTCTCAACACATGAAAACCTTTCACCAAACTATGCGTTTAGTCTTTGACATAAATAGTGCGAAAAATGGCGGAATTAACTGAACGCCTTTAAAAAGACGTATCGTATGTCATTTCTGGAACTTCATGAACTGAAATTTTGGTAAAGATGGATTCTTTCCCGCTTTCTCGAGTCTGGGTTTGTTTGTCGCTCTTGTTTCCAGGTGTTTCCTCATGATCAGAATTCCTTTCACCTGCCTGGCTGGGTTGATCTTCTTCCAAACTAAAGTTAATAGCACCAGTATCTTGGAAAGAGGTTGAAATTGACGGCATATTCATTTTTCCTGTTTGCAGTTGGCTCTTAAAAACATTCCTTCCAGCAAATCCACGTAGTTCTCCCTGCAATTCATTCAAAGGCAGTAGCAAGGCCAGACAGCAAGAGAAAGAGCACTTGGGATTCTTGAGCCATTCTTTTATAAAGCGATAGATGTATACAATATACTGAACTGCAAAGAAACAAAAGTCATAGTTACGTATACTTAGGACTGTCAGAAGTCATCTCTCCCTTTCAAAAACACCTTCTTAAAATGTACTCGTTGACTTGACGTTTTATAAGGCGGATTCCTCTCTTGTAGTGTCTTAACTCTTCTCTATGAATATTTTGGCTTTAAGTTCAAGTCTTCTATATTACTTACTTATACTGACTGACTGCAGGGGCGGATCCAGACCTTCAGATAGGGGGGGACTGTAATTCAGACCCTGAGATAAGGGGAAGAGGGCCCGGTACCCCAAAATTATTTTCGGCCCTTCGGGCCTCATTTTGGTCGAAAAATAAGGGGGGGGGGGGGGGCGCGCCCCCGGGCCCCTCTCCTGGATCCGCCACTGGACTGACTTAGCAGTACTTACATACACACTTACTTATTTACTTTAATACTTATAACTACTTGTAAAGATCACTGACTGCGAGAAACGCGATGAATTGTGAATTGTGCAATTATTGCAAGGACGCGAAAAATCCCAAAATTTGCAGCTGCTCAATTAAGGCACATGTTACAGTAATACAATTACAGTTAGAATGGAGGTTGAACCTTAAACGATTTACATCGTGAACTAAGTTTTGGCCGAAAACCAACAGCATCGTCCTACTTGTGATTGGGGAACTTAAGCAAAGACGAGGGAAAAGACGACGTCTATTTGGACCCCTCAAATTGTCAAATGTAGGCAACGTTTCTGTTTTTTCTTTTTTGGCGTTGACGTTTTCGTCGTCGTGGTTGCTTAGGCTTCCTGTTCACGTACCATTTGAATTGTAAATATCATCCCTGGGGATTAATTAATGATATGCAAATGAGTATATACAATGGGAAATTCTAGTACATTTTGTCCCATTCACTTCACTTTGTTGACACGAAGGGCGATTGGCGATTCACCCGCCCACCCCTGCGAGTAAGTCGGGTTCCAGATTACCTATATTCAAATTAGTCTATCTTGGGCTTGTCCCAGGTCAGATTGATTCCCCTATAATGTCATTAATAACAATACCCAGGGTTGAATATTATACTATTGAAGGGTAAATTAATAACGGAAGTAGTTTTACACTTGACTCACCTATGAGAAGACCGATTACCAAAGAATTTGCTCCAAACACCAGAACCTTGAACATGATGTTATCCACATAAGGATCGATTGAGGCAGGAATGTTCTCGCTGTTAATTTTACTCACAGCTCCTATTCCCAAGTTTACAAAGGTCACAGCCAGAGATATCAGCATTAGCCTGTTCTCGAATGGATCCACTATAGGGCTGACATAGGCAAAAAACATTCCATAGAGTCCTGACATGACGCAAGCCAGTCCCACATACGCCCTGCTTTCACCACCAACCAGGATCAGACCTGACGTGAGGACCACCTTCCGTACTGTGTCTACCAGTTCCCAGTACCACGAGCACGGGTGGTAGTTTTCGAAAAGGAATCGCAAGCCTGTGGTGACTTCGCTACTTTTCACTTTGATATCAGGATTTTGATGCTCGTCTTCCATTTCATTCTGACTTGTAACGGTCAATCGCGCTTTCCAGAGAGCTATAAGTGATGCTGTGGGAAGAAGTAGTATGTAAGCGACTGCAATGTAGGCAACGATGACTGATCGACTGTAGTCTGTACTCTCACAGTCGATACTGTAGTCAGTCTTAAGAAACTTTGGACAGTGGGTTTTCGTTTTGTCCGAACAAAGCAGACGGCAAGTTGGGGGAAGCACACTAGCTGTTTTGGAGCAGGTACTGAGATATGTCACGTACAGGAAGAAAAACAGGTTTCTCAAGATCAGCTCTTTCGTTTGAGAAGATTTCTTCAACTTTTCCTCTTTGGAGGAAGCACTCCGTTCGAGTAGAAGCTTTCGTAAACAATAAATGAGAATTGCAATGATGATGGCTGTGCCATTCATTGCAAGGATCGCAAACAAGCTCTTAAAAGCATTGACCTTTAATTCAGGAAAGATGCAGTGAGGAGGCGCAATCTGAAATACATTAAGCTGTACCATCTCCGAATATTTTCCAATGACAGAAAGAGAATCTGGCCATTTAACGTACGAAAATGTCTGTAACAGTCCATCAGTGACTTGGTAAAAGCCAATGACAATTTTCAGCCTTCCAAGTATCATATCCACTGTGGACCTTCCTTTTTTCTCATTCTCTTGCTTCTTTTTACTTGACCATAGGATAACTAAAATAATGACCAGGATAACTGCCACCACGATCGACAGTTGTCCGATCATCCATTTCTTCGTTGGACACTTTTTGCACGTTTGAAACTGCTTGTAATAGCCATCAGTACAAATTTCACACAGCGGTCCTTGATAGCCGTCAGCGCAAGAAGAATTGAAACCGCCATAGCAAGCCTCTTTTTGTGGACATTTGTGCGGCGTAGGAACAGTGTATGGGAACTCGATGAGGGAAGCATTAGTTGAAGAAGAGTTCCTTGAATCCAAGAGATTACGTGCAAATGATTCATAAAATTGTTTGTGGGTCTGATTCGCCCATTTCCACCAGTAACCCTTCTTCAGCTTAACATGGTCATCCACACATTGTAATCCTTCTTCATCGCATTGTTTGCAGCCTTCAAAAAGATGGGTACGATGAAATCCTTTCACACAGCTACAAGCTCTAAACCCAGCAAATGTGGAAGTATCTGTGCCTACAAAAAGCAAAAGTCCGTTTGCTGGATTAATTGTATTTCAATCAGGCAAATAATTGGCTTTTTTGCATTTTTTAAAAACACATAAATAAAGTTTTAAAGCTTGCGGGTTTTGACAGTTGTAGGCTTCATTGTCAAATGGGTTTAAATACAACAAAGCTACTTCATAAGAAAGTTTCACCGCCTTGAATTACAAGGACGTACGATAATTGACGGCATTGCCGTGCCGAGCAAACAAACAAAGTAGAGGCAAAGTCTTAAGGATATGTGTCTAAATAATTTCTCAACTCAAAACCGATATATATATATATATATAGTCCTTATACACGTTTACGCCAGACTAGCAAATTTTACCGCCAAGGCTCGTTTTGAAATTTTAAAAGTTACAGAATTTTGCATAAATGAATTCCAATGAGAGTAAAGTTGAAAAGAATACCCAAGAAATGCTCATTAACTGGAAGTGAGAAGAAGTTTGCTTAAAAACGAGGCTTGATGGTAAAATTTGCTCGTCTGCCTTAACCAAGCATAAGTGTCATTGCCAAAGCAGAATATCATTTCATTCCACCTTTATTTTCTGACAAGTTTTATCTGAACTTCACTGACGTCATCAGATACTTCGAACAGGGTAACAGGGATAACGCAGTCACTTTTTACATTCCATCTTCTTACTAGGTCGTGAGTTTGATTCTCACCTGGAGCTCGAAAAATTTTTCTGAGCTTTCTGGTGTTTGAATTCTTCTTCTTCTTAAATTCCTAATTACAATCAAACCTGGTCAAGCGTACCACCACAGATTCTAATGATGAATTCATATACAACTTATTAACCGAGAGTGAGGTCATTACAGGGAAATTCCTGTAATAAGCGAACGGACGAGGTTAATAAGTGGCCATTTAGCGCTCTAAATGTATAACACGGCAAGTAATTGAGCCTGCGATCAATTAAAACCAATAACTGGTCGGTACATGACTTTAAAAAAACAAGTCACTTCAATGAGTTGTACACTTGAGCCCGCGATACAAACATGTGACACTGGTCAACAGATACCCTTTTTCACAGCTGTCAATTGACCATAACATGGATCTCCACTATCAAGTTAAACACACAGATTGTATATGCCTTGGACACCCAGCGAATAATGCCGGCCATTACAAGAAACTTTTGCCAGCTTAGCAGCCAATCAGAACACTCGTACTTTTGTAGCCATATAATAATTGACATTTTGAAGTCTTGTGGTGATTCTTATCATTCTTGCTAGCATTCAATGAGCAGTAAAATTGTCCTTTTTTCTTCTTGAGTGTGATAAAGAATTTTATTCAAAAGCTATCGAAGACGATTTCTCTTGACCTGATAGAATGCTGAGAATCTGCAGCGCGAAATTCACTGTCCAGAGCATGCAAGCATACAGATTTGAATTTGATACTCCTGCCACCATCAATATAATCTGTTTGGTCTATGTTTGACTGGGTTTGACTATAAAACATGCCTACCTTGTGGACAAGCAATGCACTCACGAGCGCTTTTGCCAGGCGCCTTACTGTATGGGACAAAAGTTCCATTTGGACATCTGAGGCAGCTGTCATTGACAAACGCTATGGTATCCGAATAGAAGCCTCCTATAAGAAAGTGTATCAGAGTGAAAGTGTCCTTGAAATAAATTTAATTTTGTAGTCCCAAAATATGACTAAAATGGATCTACAGAGCCGATAAAAAGTAGTTAGTTTGGGGTAAATAAAAATTGCCGGGTTACAAAATCCTTGGTTTTTGGTCCGACCTTCCTTTTTAAATTCCATGACCTACAAATAACGTAGAATTACCGTAATATGATTGGTTTCTGTGGACGGACTTTACTGTTGCATAGCATAAGAAAAAAAAGCAAGCATCTGGTCGTATTAAGAGTACAATAAATGTGGCTGGCTGGATACTGGCAAAGTTAGTACCAGTTTTTGCATTTTTGTGAATCGAGACAAAGAGTTTGAGCATCACGTATACAGCAAACGGCAAACGTCGGATTAAGTTGAGAATTTCACAAAATAGAAAATGAACAGATAAAGACAGCTCAAAACAATTCTTATGGATAAAAAATTGCATGAAACTACTAATTTATTTGTTGAAATAATGACAAGTAAACGACAATTAAAGTTGAAGTACTGGGCCTAACGTTGTTCACCTTGTACACCAATGACCTATGTAAGCGGATGACACCACCGTTTATCATTTTGGGACCCTGTTGATAACACTGTCACTTCTTTAAATTAAGCTTTATCGGAACTGAACAGTTGGTGCTTAGAGAACTCTTTAACTCCTCACTCGGCAAAGTGCGAAGCTATGCTATTGATGAGAAAACCGCACTTCGGGCGGCTAAATTCTATGTCGATGACAGGCTTTCCTGGTCACACTACCTTACAGATGTAAAAAAGAATTTTGTTAACAAACTGAACCTCCTGAAAAGGAGTTCGTTTTTGTGCAGAAAAGCCCTATTGGACTTGTACTCCAAGATTATATTACCATCATTTCTGTATGGACTTGGTTGTTTTGGGGCGGATGCCCTAATGCGAAACTTCTACATTCCCTGGAAGTACTTGATCGTAGGGCAGTCAGAATAATATACAACTTGCCCCGCGATGTGCCTACTGATGAAGTATACCGAAATTGGAATTGGATTACTATAACCTTCTATTATAAAATTATTAATTAATTAAGACTATTAATTAATTAAACTACCCCATAGCGTGTTTATAGGTGTAGCACCTGCGGGTCTTTCATACCTGACAAATAAACCTTGCACTGCGTACAACTTAAAAAATCTATCAGCTATAGAGGCGCTATTCTTTGGAACGCGGTCTCGACTAATTTTACAGGCCAGTTTACTGTATTTAATAGCAAAGTGAAGAAGGACTCTTATTTTAAGGAACTTGATTTTAAGCGCACAGTCGGTCCAGTCGCTGCCCAGGTACTACCAAGATTTAAAATGTTTTTAACGATTTTATGTTTTAAATGCTGTAGTCAATTTACCTAGAGATAACTAATGCAAATTCATTTAACATTGTATCTTTTCAGAATCTTGATGTATATTTTTTAGTTTTCATTGTAGTTGTATTTTGTATTTTTACAATACTACAAAAAAGCATTTAAACAATAGACATAAACAGAGTAAAGCAAAATGAATTGTTAAAATATTACAGGGCTAAAAGAAATTAGTACAAAAGTACAACGAGGCAATGAAATAAAACGGAGTTAGGACAGTTGAATAAGGTGTCAGTATCCACTTTCTTTTAGAGAATTCTTTTTTGCTGATTTTTCCTTCTGTTTCATATTTAGTGATGATCTTCCCCTTAAATCCATAAATGTTTGGAAGGATTTGTTTGCTCCTACGCTCCCACAAATAGAGTTTTTCAATAACTACAATAACTATAAAATAGTTCAGCAATTGAAGCAAAGGGCAAGCATTTTCTGTCAAATTCCAAAGAGCACATTTTCCAAGCAGAGACGAATTCGTCGATTCAAAATGAGGCACCAATAGAATTCAAATTCAATCCAAAACTGTTTAGAACGTGAGCAGTGATAGAACAAATGGGTTAATGACTCGGGTTAATTGTCACAGAAAGTACATTAAATCATTTGTTCTAAAATCTAGTTTATACAACTTTGTACTTGTGTAAAGAATTGAGTTGATTACTTTGTACTGGAAGGCTTTAACATACGATTGGACAACGATAGAGTGTGGCAGCGTAATTTAAATATTTGCCTCAGATGGTCGCTGTTAAAATGAAAGTTACACTGTAATTTTTGAATAATATTGGGCGGTTTAGCTTTTTCTCTGATAAGTAGGTTCTAGTAATCCTTTGATTTCCCTTTCGTAACATCAAAATTGTTGTCACTTACCACAAATGTTGGATAGTTTATGCAATGATACCTGTCATAACTTCTTAGCGATAATGGCATGGACCTACGTAAGCCAGACCATTCTAAAATATTTGTTTTGCATATTTTTTTAAACAGTTGATTATAAGAATCGGTACTGTTCAGACTAAATAAAAAATCTTGAATGCAAATGACTCTGGCATTAACATAATGTTTATAATAAACCGGCTTGTTTTCTACTTTTATTTCTTTGTTATTCCATATTATGGTTTTCCAATCTTCTTCAGTGGCAAACGTTTCACGAAATTTCGACCACCATAACAAAAGTTCCAGATAAAATTGAGAAGGAATTGTGTAATCCGAGATATTGTAGTTGCAGTTAAAAAAGAACAATCCCCCAACGGAGCTCACTATGTGTTCAGGTAGCTTTTCCACGTTCCATTGGTCCCACTGAAAAAAACTTTTTAACCAAGCTAATCTCAATGTTTTAACCATGCACTCGAGATCTGCCATTCTTAGCCCTCTCTCTTCGTATTCGTTTATAACTGAAGCTCTTGTTACCTTATCTACACCTTTCCAGAGAAATTTAAACAATATTTTATTCAATTCTTTTATCAATTCCTTGGGAGTTGGAAGGATCGAACAAAAGTAAATGTATTTAGGGATAAGAAAAGATTTGATTATTGTCACCTTACCGTATATCGACAGGCCTCTAGCGGACCATATATTAATAAGTTTTTTAATCGAATCAAGTCGTTCAATAAAATTCTTTTCTTTAAGCAATTTTTGATCGTAAGTAAAATATACACCAAAAGCTTTTATTGGCTCGTCCGGCCATTTAATACCGAGTTAAGTAGTTCAAATAATCTTTCGGCCGAGCTTGTGTCAGCTAACACAGCGGTTGTATCGTCTGCAAGCTGTAAAACCTTAGTTTCCTCAGTTCCTATTGATTCCTTTAATTGTCTCTTTTTGCCTGATATCAATTGCTAAAGTTTCTACTGCAATTATAAATAGGTAAAGAGAGAGTGGATCACCCTGCCTAACACCGCGTTCCAGAGTAAAAAGTTAGAACTATCGCCATTGTTTATAACACGCTTTGACTGTTGTTATAAAGGGTTTTCACCCATTGAAGGAAGTCTTGACCAAAGTTA